TCTAATACAAATCTTTTATATTAATATGGGGTGAAATAAATTCTAATGCATCTTGTATACACATAAAAATTATTTTCAATTTTATATAAAGTATTTAAAATACTTCCATAAATTGCAGTTCCAATATATGGCTGTCCCAGTCTAGTAAAACTTAAAATTCTTCTTTTTTTTTTTTTGCAAATTCCAATCTTGATTAATAAAATGTGCAGTGACAAAAATATAACTAATGTTACATTTGGATGTCCATATATTAGATGTAAAAGAAATTTTAGAATCTGAATTTGAAAGATTTGACATTAAATTTGGTTTATATATAAAAAAAAAAATTAAAGTGTCATATGTATTTGTATTCCTAGATACTTTCCTAAACTGAGGATTAATAGAATGTTGCAAATTTTTTTTTTCTAACCTAGGGTCTTCAAAGAAAAAAATAAGGGTTGTTCGGCWTGTAAAATATGTTTAGCTAATTCTTACCTCATTTTCTCTTGGAAATATTGGAAATTACCAAATACCCCATAAGAAATTTGCATTTGATTTACGTTATCTCCTTGGATGCATTTTTTGGTTGCACTCTTAAATTCAGAAGTGGGGGTAGTTGATACAACCTGAATTACGCACCTATCAAGATATGACAAATAGCATTGATTTCAAAGTCGGAACCATCAAGACACCTCACCTCGTACCATAACCATGGTTTTAAAAAAGACCTAGAAATGAAACCATTTTCCAGGTTGACAGTTTGACCGTCCAGTTCAAATGGATGGCCCATTTTGACAAAAAATAAAAAATAAATAATTAAAATAAAAAATGACAAAAAACTGTTGAACAGGTCGACGGTTCAATTGCCTAAGTCAACGGGTCGTTGATTAATTTAATGATTTTTGGCCAGAGACTGGGTTTAGAGTAAAATGGAATTGATTGCCTGAACGGTTCTCGGGCCGAACGGTCCAACCATCTATTTTGAGAACCATGACCATAACTTTCGTCTCATTGCCTTCACCATTCTTCTAAACAAACCAGCGCATCTTCTATGATTGATTACCTCATCCAATTAAGTCGGTACGGTAAAGTTCTATAACTAAGGATCAATCTTGTTAGACTAAAAGTGTAACTTGAGGGCCAAGGTAACATTGATCCCGTCACATGTACTTGCTTGCTCAGATCACCAAGGATACTAATTTGAGATATTCAAGTGGTGATGAGCAATCAACTAAAACACCACTTGGAAGTCTAAAACAATTGAATAATTACTTGTGGTTGCGCCAACTTGACTATGTGTCACAATTACAGAAGAAATGGGCTACACCTTGGCCCATGTACTTCAACATGTCACTTGCCAACTGAAGGAAGGGGAAATCCATCATATAGATGGCCGAACCATGCAAGATGGCTAGGCGAACTTCCAAAAATTTTCTTTTATCCTTTCGGGAATCGTATTCCCAATTTTAGAAAAACTGCATTTTTCAAGGATCATTCTTACATCGAACCAGACCATATCTGAAACCAAAAGGAAGGGAGAAGTATACCTGATATGGAATCCACAAGTGTAGCTCCCAAAGTGGTAGTTTACACCCAAAGAGGGTACTAAAACCATCTTCCACTAAAAATGGCACAGCTTAGGTTGAAGTCGGTTCAACAACATAGTCCTTTAGCAAGAACTGTAATCCAATAGCTTGGATCGAGCAAGGGAGGTGAGAAAGAATAGGATTTGATATTTTTTTGCAAAAGTCAGATATCAAAACTGATCTTTATCAGTTCAAGAACTAGAGATTGAACTAGGGTTTAGGGCGACAAGAGCAAAAGGAGAGAACTGAGAGCAGATGTGATCACTGGAGCAGTTCGCCCTCCTCCTTTTATAAACCTTAAGAACCAGCACTCATAATCGAATTAGGAGGCTCCTAATCCAAATATTTATTTGGATCTAGACTCTTCAAGTGGATAAGACTTATCCTCTTATCCTAAATACTGATCCAAACCCATATTCACCCATATCACATGACTGTTTAAGCTATCATGTGACCACTTGATTAATCTAATTAATCATGGGCTTTAGGCCCATTAAGTAAGTGGCTCACAACCCTAATTAGTTGCTGTCTCATTTGGTTCTCTTTGTATGGCATGGGACCCCAACAAGGACCCTACATAAGCCCATATGGGTTCGACCCAGCCTCTGTGAAAAGGCCTGGCCGAATTCACTGTCAAGTACAGTGAACCCCTAAGTCCATTAGCATGGGCTCTTAATGGGCCCAACATTTACATTAAATGATCCTTGAGTCCAGCCATCCTATGAAGGCCCAATGACAATGGACTTAAGTAGGATATAGCCCATCAGATAATCAACCCTAAATGGTCTCTTACACTTAACCTCTCAGCCCTTAATGATCAATCACTGCTCGACAGGGAAGGACCCTTCCTTGGCTGCAYGGTGCAGTGTTTCACTCTTTGCTTGGATAGGTCGTGGGAATTAAAACCTTTTGCAAACCTTTTTCTTAAAACATAATATATATATATATATAAATATATATTCATATAAATATATTTTTCAAAACAAATCTCAAACAAGTTTGAAATCGAATGCCGACAATTTTGGTTTCCATCAAAGAGAGTTTAATCCTGATCATTCACTTTACCCGACAAAGGGGTTGATCCTGTCACTATGATCACCCACTCGAGTGAATTCTTAGACTTCCCTAACATATCTAGGTTTTGACCCTGAAGGATCTCATTAATCGACGCATCAAAGATAGCTTAATCTGACACCCACTACAGTACCATAATCGAGTCTAGGGGTTATGTGTAACTTTTTAGTTTTGCCCACCAGTCTCTAAGGTCTAGGGCATAACTGGAAATTGGTCCAGGTTCAGTGTTTCAAACAAATACACACTACATGTGCTTTGGGTCTAGCCTTGGCAGCTGAGACAGGCTGCCCCAACCTTCTTGGCAGCACATCAGTGTTAGCCTTGGCAAGATAAACTTCCCCAAGTCTATCCAACGGCTGAGAATATAACACGAGTCTCGTAAGTGTCCAGTTTAAGGGTAATTACACAGAAACACACTAAATATAACATGAATAAATTATGTACTTTTATTCATTTACAATAAATGGATATGATTATCAATCTGATTGGAGCTAAGGGCATACACTATCTAACAACTCCTACTTGCACTTAGCTCCAATCGAGTACAAGTTGGAGTCCCATACTGTCCACGTGTTTTTCAAGCACTTTCTGTGTCAATGGCTTAGTCAATGGGTCTACTACATTTTTTGCTGATGCTACCTTTTGAATCTGGATGTCCCCTCTACCAACAATCTCCCATATATCCAGTGTTGTCACACAACAGTGGAATGGAGTGATATGGTAGAATTCCAAATTCCAGGATGAACAATTTCATTCATTAGGCAGCCTTACTTACGACAATGTGCTTGGCCTGGGTCGTGGACTATTTTTCTTACTATACAAGACCTTATCGTGAAGATGTAACCAGATGTAGACTTTCTATCATCTGGTTTTCAAGTGTCTCACACTTGGTTTCTTACCGGTCCATAACTCATAGGGAGTCTTAGGAATGGATTTGGTTGGAACCCGGTTCAACATGCATATAACAGTCTCTAATACGAGGAGTGATCGGACCATATCTAATAGAGGTTGGTTTCCCCTCTTTGACACACCGTTTAATTGTGGTGTAGCAGGAAGAGACAACTGCCATATAATCCCATTATTCTTAAGGTAGTCCCTGAATTCGTCAGAGAGATATTCACCTCCTTGATCTGATAAAAGGATTTTGATCTTTCTCCCCAACTATTTCTCGACTTTTTGTCTGAACTCCTTGAACTTTTCAAAGGATTCGGACTTATGTCTCATTAGGTACACGTAACCATACCGAGAATAATCATCGGTGAAAGTTATAAAATAACAGTACTGGTTTCGTGTCTTAACATTCATGGGACCATATACATTAGTATGTATCAGGTCGAGTGTGCCTGTAGATCTTTTAGGCTTACCCATAAATGGCCGTTTCGTCATCTTACCCTGAAGGCAAGGTTCACAAGTTGGAAGATCTTCTACAGTTAGACAATCCAAAGGACCATCCTATACCAATCTTGTGATACGATCTATGTTGATATGGCAAAGTCAATAATGCCACAAGCACGTGGAATTAACCATATCACGTGTTCTTTTCTTGGGGTTATGATCCGACGTAGTTTCGATTATGTTCACTTCTAGAGAAGGACAGAGGACATAGAGATCATTCTCAAGTTCTCTATGAGTAAGGAATTTGTTATTCAATTTGATAGTAATTGTATCGCTAAATAGAACAAAATAACCATCCTTACATAGTTTTGAAACTGAAATCAAATTTCTTCTTAGTAACGGTACATAAAGACAATCTTTATGTGTCACAATTCCTTTTTTGAAAATTAAATCTATAGTTCCTATAGTTGTAGGTGCAACTGTTACAGAAGTCCCCAAGTAAAGAACCACCTTGTCATCATTCAGCCTTGCTTTCTCTAAACCCTTGCAATGTATTACATGCATGAGTAGAAGCCCCAAAGTTAATACACTAGGATACAGAAGTAACCAACATATTGGTCTCTATGACAAGAGATTCGAAATTACCTTCTTTGTTCTTGGATTCTAGATACTGAGGACAGTTCCTCTTCCAGTGTCTGGTCTGTTTGCAAAAGTGACATTTATCTAATGCTTTGTTTCTCTTCTGCTTTTTCGACTTGCCCACTTTCTTCTGAGGCCTCTTCTTGCCCTTCCTCTTTCTCTTGCCAGACCTTCAACAATCATGCTTACCGACTTATCCTTCTTAATCAGTTTCTTAGCCCTCTGAAACATGTTGAGTTCTTAAAGGCTAACCTTTAGCTTGTTCATGTTATAGTTCATGACAAACTGATTAAAGGAGGGAGGCAGAGAATTTAGGATGGCATTAGTTTTGGTGTCATCATCGAGCTGGGATCCAAGATACTCCAGTTCGTTAACATACCCCATCATCTACATGGTGTGGTCATGGACATGCTGGCTCTCGTTCATCTGTATGGTCATCAACAGCTTGAGGACATTCTGACAGTTTGAATGATTCTGCTCCTCATACATAGTCTTTAGACTATCCAGAATGTCTTTACAAATTTCGATCTTATCGAATTGCCTCTGGATAGCATTATCTAAAGATTTATCAATATAACACCGAGCAAGAGAATTTTTCTCTTATCATTCCTGATATTCCCTCCTACATGCTTCAGAATCCTTGTCTTCTGGACGTTTCGGAGTAGGGTTCTTGGCAACCTTGTCCAATTTCTCAAACGTCAAAACCAGATTAAGGTTATGGTACCAGTCAACATAGTTGGGTTCCTTAAGTTTGTTATTATCCAATAGTTTAGCTAATTGTCCATGTGCCATTTCTGATAAAAGGCAACAGATATTAGTCCATGACCTAAAATTAATTCATGTTATCTTACATAGAATGGTCCTTTATCTATGTTTCATATCCATTTACTCATTTTTGAGATTTTCCTTCTATCTCAGTGACGGGGACACGATGCATGCCCCTAGAAATGTGGGAAATCACATAGGTGAATGGAGCCAACTATTTCAGCTACAAAGCCCCAACACTATCTGTGAAGGATTATATCCACCAATCCAATGAGCTTTCCCTTTGGCCCCCATCAGACAAGGTTCATTGCCATTTTAGGTTAAACCTTTATATCTAGTAAGTGCTGACCCGTCATATCATGGACCCCAAGGTACTATGAAAGAGTCTTCCATTTTAAGATATGCCTCTCCCACATCATTCTATGATGCCTCTATCATCTCATGAAGCAATCCAACCAATTGGACCAGCAAAATGGATAGCCAATTTTATGGTGCATCTCCACCCACCAATTTAGCCTACCTTCATGCTAATGACAGAAGGCCTTTAGAGAATTCATCATATGATATTCCCAATCTCTTGCACATTAATCCAAAGGGAACAAGTAAAACAGTTCCTAGGTCTGTTTTAGGTCATAACAAAGTGGCTCCCACTGACTTTCATAAAGTCAGATTCAAATGGGCCCAAAACGGGCTAGGGTTCTGCGGGGTTCCTCTTAAGGAGAAATTGAAAAGGGGGCCCATTGAGAAGGGAGATCATCCAATGATCATTGGGCATCATGGCAATAATGTGCATTCATCCATGATGTTCAAAGAGAGCCACATACACTTATGTCCCATGTATGAATCACATTCAACACATCACAAGCATTCACATAAGCAAATTGGTCAAATCAATTAAAAGCTTGTAAAACCCTAATTAATTTAAGTTAACACACAATTATCCCATTAAAGGCCTATGAATTATCCAATAATATCATCTAGGTATATGGGCTAAACTGCAAAGCGCAGTTCGGCCCACATAACAGATGGGCTGATGTTGCTTTAACTTAACTTAAACTAGGTTTTTCAAGAGAGGGCTGAATTGTTCCATGTGATGGGCCATCAAACCCTTGGCTCATAACTGAATTTGAGCCACCTAAGACATGACCCATGGGGTTGAGATCAGACCCCATTGAAACATGGGTTTGGTCCAACTAGTTTGGACCAAACTAGGTCAATTCTGCCTAGGGTTTGGTGTCCAAAACATGCTACCATTCACAATAATTTGATCTGAAATTTTAACAGTTGGATATTGACAATCAATCACAGCAAAAACAAACAATCTAGGGCTGCAAGTGTGATGGTCCGAATCTGATTCAGACGAATTGCAAACCTACAAAAACTAATTAATTGCAGATTGTAAATTTTTTTGCAAAATTTCTTCTTTTCCTCTGTGCGCTCCAGTAGGTCTTCCAATGTAAAAAAAATAAAAAAAAAAACTAATTTTCTTTTAATTACATCAAAGTAAATCCTAATACATTTTGTCTAAAAATAAAAAAAAAAATTATTTACAGACTAATGAGCAAATAAATAATTTTGGTGTGTAGATCTTGGCACCAAATAAAGAATTCGATCTCCATGACATAGACAACCCAAAATTCCAAGAAATAATAATAGAAAAATTCTTAAAATATAACAGAATAAAATAAAAAAAAAAATAGATAAGATCACCAAAAAACTGAGAACCAATTTCTTAGAAAACTGCTAACTATGCAAATCGGGTAGAACAATTCTGCAAATTTGGGCCTGTTTCAGATTTGATTTAATTTCGGTTCAAGATTGAACCATTGGCTCTGATACCACTGAAGGAAGGGGAAATCCATCATATTGATGACCGAACCATGCAAGATGGCTGGGCAAAATTAAAAAAAAAAATTCTTTTACACTTCTGGGAATCATATTCCCAATTTTTAAAAAAATTGCATTTTTCAAGGATCGTTCTTGCACCGAACCGGACCACATCTAAAACCAAAATAAATGGGTGAAATATACCTGATACAGAATCCACAAGTGTAGCTCCCAAAGTGGTAGTTCATGCCCAAAGAGAGTACCAAAACTAGCTTTCACTGAAGATGACGCAGCTTAGGTTGAACTCAATTAAGCAACACAGTCCTTCAACAAGAACTCTAATCCAATAGCTTGGATCGAGCAAGGGAGGTGAGCATGAATTGGATCTAATATTTTCTTGAAAATATAGGATATCATAACTGATCTTTATTAGTTCAAGAACTGGAGGTCGAACTAGGGTTTAGGGCGCAAGAGCAGATGTGATCACTAGAGCAATTCACCCTCCTCCTTTTATAAGCCTTAAGAACCAACCCTCCTAATCGAATTAGGAGGCTCCTAATCCAAATCTTTATTTGGATCTGGACTCTTCAAGTGGATAAGACTTATCCTCTTATCCTAACTATTGATACAAACCCATATCCATACCCATATTTACCCATGTCACATGATTGCTTAAGTTGTCATGTGACCACTTGATTAATCAAATTAATCATGGGCTTTAGGCCCATTAAGTAAGTGGCTCATGACCCTAATTAGTTGTTGGCCCATTTGGTTCTCTTTGTATGGCATGGGACCCCAACAATGACCCTACATAAGCCCATATGGGTTCAGCCCAGCCTCTGTGAAAAGGCCTGGCCGAATTCACTGTCAAGTACAGTGAACCCTTGAATCTATCAGCATGGGCTCTTAATGGGCCCAACATTTACCTTAAATAATCCATGAGTCTAGCCATATGAAGGCCCAAGGATAATGGACTTAAGTAGGATATAGCCCATCATGTAATCAGCCCTAAATGGTCTCTTACACTTAACCTCTCAACCCTTAACGATCAACCACTGCCCGACAGGGAAGGACCTCTTCCTTGGCTGCAAGGTGAAGTGTTGCTCTATTTGCTCAGATGGGTCCTAGGAATTAAAACCTTTTGAAAACCTTTTTCTTAAAACTTAATATATATATATATATATATTATCCTATAAATATATTTTGCAAAATAAATCTCAAACAAGTTTGAAGTCAACTGTCGTAGTTTTGGTTTCGATCAGAGAGAGTGCAGTCCCGATCATTCACTTTGTTTGACAAAGGGGTTGATCCTATCACTATTATCATCCACTCAAGTGAATTCTCAAACTACCTCAACATACCCAAGTTTTGACCCTGAAGGATCTCATTGATTGGCACATCAAAGACAACCCAATCCGACACATAGTGCAATACCAAGTCTAGGGGTTATGTGTAACTTTCCAGTTTTGCCCACTAGTCTCCAAGGTCCAGGGCATAACTGGAAATTGGTCCGGATTTAGTGTTTCAAACAAACACACACTGCATGTGCTTTGGGTCTAACTGTGGCAGTTGAGATAGGCTGCCCCAACCTTCTTGGCAGCATATCAGTGTCAGCCTTGGCAGGATAAACTTTCCCAAGTCTATCCAACGGTTGTGAACATATAAATTAACACGAGTCTCATAAGTGTCCAGTTTAAGGGTAATTACACAGAAACACACCAAATATAACATGAATCAATTAAGTACTTTTTTATTCATTTACAATAAATGGATATGTACATCAATCTGATTGGAGCTAAGGGCATACACTGTCTAACACCAACAAGATGTAGTCAGAGGTTTCGGATGTGTATGCATGACCTGTCAATTCTAGAATTCAGGCATTCTTCCTAGCTACAAATAGGTAAGCATCCTTCTTGGCACAGTACCAAAATGAAACATGTTGAGAAAAGCTTTAAAGAAAAGAACAAAAATTGAACTATCAAGAAGAAGAATTCTTCATCAAATAATAAAGAGAAAATTCAATATCAAAAACTGTCTTAGCCTTCTCCTAGCTACTCTTTATATAGGCATACACCCTTATGGCTCCTACAAGAAAGTTTCCTAATCTATGAAAACACTCCATAATAGAATCCTACTAAAACTCTTCAAAAAGAAAGTCGTAATTGAACAAAAATTCAATAATCATAATCTAATACTAATTTGGTAATTCTGAACTAGAATAGAAGTCCTGCACTAACACTATCTTAGTATATTCGAACTAAGATAGAAATTCCATGTTGATGCTATCTTGGTAAATTCGAAGATAGAAATTCCGTGCTGGCACTAGCTTGGTAAATTCGAACCAAAATAGAAGTTTTGTGCTGGTGCTAACTTGGTAATTCCGAACTAAGATAGAAGTTTCATGTAGGAGCTAACTGGTGGGTGTCGAATCCAACCAAAGATAAAAAGTCTTGCTCCAATTAAATAATTTGTAGATAGTGATGAGCAAGGTCATCTCCACAGGGATTGGGTGGATTTTTTTCCAACGAAGTAAGGGGGTTGTAAAGCTAAGGAAAATAAGAAAATAGCAGAAAATAACAGAAAGCAAAGATCAAATTGATGGGAGATAGCTTCCGGTTGAAGGGACAAGTTCATCTTTGATTCGTATCATTGATCCTCGATGCAAATATTAAGTATAAAATACTGAATATTGAGGGATAAAAATATGATAGTTTTTATTCTCATCACTAACTCGGTTGGGTTAGTGATGTCATCCAAGCTTTTTATGTGTTTTGGAGTGGTCCTACCTTGCATAGAACTTATTGGCCTTTTCCTGTACTGCATCAACCTCCCCAAGTTAGGGAGAATCCGTCCTCATATTCAAATCAGCATCTGACTGATCGCCAACATATTCTACCAAGTGTTTGACATTGAAAACATCATGGGCACGTATATGACTGGGTAGCATTAGTCATTCTCAGTGATGACTTTAACTATCTCATATGGTCCAACCTTCCTTGGTGCCAGCTTTCCACGTTAACCAACTGGTAGGTGTTCCTCTATTAAAATGGCCCAAACATAGCCCCCACATCAAATACTACTTTCCTCTTATATGTACTAAGATGGGTTTTCAAAAACCAATTTTGTAAATGTTTGCTCAGTTGGTCCAAATCCCATACTGCATCATTCTCCCCAGGTTGGAGAGAATCCGACCTTCG